GGGTATCGACTACAGTTCAAACCCACCCTCCAAATTCAACAGAAGAGGGGTTGTTTGGACTGTGGTTCCGCCCGGAGCAAGGTCCGGTGTTGGGACAGGAAGTTCGTACTCTGTTGAGGAAATGGCCGTGGAACGTGTCTCCCCCCCAGACAGAGACGCCGGTTTCTACAGCCGGTACTTCATAGTCTCCAAGAAGGACGGAGGGCTGCGTGCCCTTTTTGGATCTGCGGTTCTAACCGGTCTCTGAGGAGATTCAGGTTCAAGATACTCATCATCCCCGCCATCGTGACACACATCCAATCTGAGGATTGGTTCGTCACGATAGATCTAAAGGACGCCTATTTCCAGGTCTCCATCCGTCCTTCTCACAGGAATTCCTGAGTTTGCCTTCGGGGTGTGGCTTACCAGTATCGGGTTCTTCCATTCGGCCTGGCACTTTCCCCTCGCACATTCACCAAGTGTATTGTGCAGCACTGGCCCCGCTGAGGCTCCGGGGCATCCGGATTTCAACTTCATTCGACGACTGGCTCATCCTAGCCCAGTCTCGAGAGTTGGCGGTTCGGCATCGAGATGTCGTTCTGGCTCGTCTGCGGCGTTTAGGGCTGAGGCTCAACGCAAAGAAGAGCGTGCTGGCGCCCACCCAACGGGCTACGTTCCTAGGGGTTGCATGGGATTCGACAACGATGCGGGCACAATTGTCTCCGACGTGTCGACACCATATTGGCTGCCGTGAAAGGGGTGAAGTTAGGCCACGCCATCACTATGAAACACTTTCAACGAGTGTTGGGTCTCCTGGCGGCTGCGTCCAGCGTAATACCATCTGGACTGCTGCACATGAGACCCCTGCAGTGGTGGCTAAGGAACAGGGTTTTTCCCCGAGGGGAATCCTCTCCGTCTGATTTGGGTTACGCGCAAGTGTCTTCGTTCCCTATCAGTTTGGAAGGAAACTTGGTTCCTGTCCCAGGGGCCCGGTCTGGGAGGGTCTTGTTGCCGGCTGGTTATTTCGACGACGCCTCCCTCACGGGCTGGGGCGCGGTCATGGACGGCCGCTTTGCAAGGGGATCCTGGCAGGTGCATCGATCCGAGTGGCATATCAACTGTCTCGAGATGTTGGCGGTGTTCCAGGCTCTAAGGAGTTCCTGCCCGATCTCCAAGGCCACCACGTCCTGGTTCGTTCCGAGGAGAACAACACAGCGGTGGTGGCCTATCTGAATCACCAGGGCGGTCTGCGCTCGCGCCCTCTGGACAGACTAGCGCGTCAGATCCTCCTGTGGTCCCAGCAGAGGTTACTATCGCTCAGGGCGACGTATCTCCCCGGGACGCAGAATCAGGGAGCAGACCTGCTGTCGAGGCAGGGGCTGAGGCCCGGGGAATGAGACTTCACCCCGAAGTGGTGGAGCTCTTGTGCGAAGAGTTCGGCCCCATAGACGTGGATCTGTTTGCGTCTCAAGAGACTACGCACTGCCCGCTATGGTTTCTCTCGTTCCTCCAGCCCCGTGGGTCTGGACGCCATGATACATTCGTGGCCGAGGCTACGTCTGTACGCTTTTCCCCCAGTCGCTCTGCTCCCGGGGTTCTGGAGCGGGTCCGCCAGGACAATGTCGGCCTACTGCTCGTAGCCCCGTTCTGGCCAACCCGGTGTGGTTCTCGGACATCATTCGCTCCTGGACGGCCTGCCGTGGCGGGTCCCTCTGAGGAGAGACCTGCTGTCCCAGGCGCAGGGCCGGTTCTTCACCCTTGCCCCGCCATATGGCGACTGCGGGTCTGGCCCCTGAGGGGGCACAGTACCTAGAGGCGGGTCTAACAGCCGGAGCAGTCGAGACCCTCCTGAGCTCCAGGGCCCCGTCCACACGGTCCTCCGTGGTGCCCGGAGGATTGAGACCTGCGACTCGGTCCAAGGTTCCCACTTGGGATCTGGCAGTGGTTTTGGGGCGTTGGCTGAGGCCCCCTTCAAACCCCTGGAGTCAGCTGAGGCTAAGCACTTGACCCTCAAGATGGCCTTTCTCCTTGCTATCACCTCTCTGAGGAGGGTGGGGGATCTCCAAGCGCTTTCGGTTTCCCCGCAAAGCCTGGAGTTTGCCCCGGGGAATATTAGGGCTATCCTGCACCCTCATTCAGGATACATCCCTAAAGTGCCTTCTTGTGCGGCAGGGTCCACAGTGCTGCAGGCATTTCATCCTCCACCTCATGTGACGGCGGAGGACGGGAGACTTCATCTGCTCTGCCCTGTCAGAGCACTGAGTACTTACACTCTGAGGTCCTCCCGTTGGAGGAAGGCTGACCAGCTAGTGTGTTTTGGGTCTCCCAGGGCTGGGCTCCCTGCATCCAAACATACTATTAGCAACTGGATTGTTCAGACTATTTCCCTGGCCTATCAGGTGCGCGGTTTGCCTTCACCTGTGGCTGTGAGGGCTCATTCTACCAGGCATGGCGGCCTCTCGAGCCCTC